TGATGCCTCTCTCCACAGAGCAGTGCAATGAAATACAGGCAGTCCCTGGGTTACGGGAGGGGGAGCGGCTTTTCTCGCCCCGGAGGAAGCGGGCGGCGGGACCAGGCGTCCCGCCGCTCCAGTCCTCCGGGGCGAGAAAATCCCTGTTCGTAACTGCGGATCCGACATAAGTAGGATCCGCGTAACTCGGGGACTGCCTGTAGTAAGGAACATGATTTTTGGGAACAGATAGAAATACCAGAGACTAGTTTTCCTAACATTAACTAGTATTTCTGGGGTTGAGCTCTTTACTTTACCTTGGAGTGCAAGTTCTTAGTTCTGAATCTTATTTTGTAAGGCAACCTGGCTATGAATGCCTGTGCCCACTCACTTTCACAACACTATGTGAAGCACCTGGGCTTTTCCGCTTTTTCTTAAGCACAATATTTTCCAAGTGGTAAGATCTGTTCCTCAGTGACTGACACGGGCTTAAAGCAAACTCAATTTACAACATACTTAGGGCTTGCATTAAAAGAATGTAATGTCCACCACACACCAAGGTTATGTAATCCCCAAGAAACCCATCAGTAACAATGTCAAATACACTACCGTTCATGCACTGTGTAGCTCCCCACAACTGCGACAGTGACTGACAGGATATAGCAGGAATACCCAAACCTTCTCCCCTCCCAAAGGAGCATACAATAATCTTTAGATGCCTGAAGGACATAAGATGTACACAACCTACCCTGGGAGGCAGCATCTACTGGGGCAAGGGGCTTCTTCCCTGACGCCTCCCCCTACCCCGGGCTAAAGCCCTCAGTGTTTCTTATAAGCTGTGCACTTGTGCAGTCACTCAAGGAGAGATTCAAATACCACCCAGTTGATTAGCAGAGTGTCCGTGGCTACATTTTTTTTGTTTCTACTGGTGGTGCAGAGCCCCACATACCTCAGTGCACATAAATTTTATTCTGTATATGGATGGAAAAAAATCCACACATGGATGAAAAAAATAGAGGGAACACTGTTCTAGACCCCCTCACTGCAGGACAGAAGCCCCCTAGCCCCACCACAGGGCAAAACTGAGCAGGCCCCTATCTCCCCCTGCTCGGTCTTAAAGGTAGAGAATGGAAGAAAGGGTATGTGGAACCCCCCCCTCCCCAGAAGGTACACTTTAATTTTAAGAGAGCCACATGCAGCTCATGTGCCACAGCTTAGCCATGCTTGTGGCTATAAAGGCACTAATCTGTTCATTGCCAGCAGGCTGGAAACTACATCAGGCAAACTGGTACACAGCAACATCTTACATAGACTCACAATATGATAATCTGGTAACAGAAATAGCACTTACCTCTGTTTCTTCTCCCAAAACATCTTCTTCATTTGCTTCTTCTTCAGCTAAAAGAATGTTTAAAAAAATCCACACAGATCAATTGCTTCTGCAAATCACCTGTCCAGCCTGAGAGCCTGAGATATTAACTCCTAAAAAGCTCATGTTCTTCACACTAGTAAGAAAGTTCATGTTGTAACGATTCTAATCAGGCTCTTACAGCAGGCCCACAGCTTGAATTACTCAATATTACAATCACTCTTGATACACTCTTGGAGTAGGATTGGAGCTCCAGATAAGGAACAACTGCTGACTTGGGCCTATCACCAAGAAAATTCTAAGGACTGTCTTATCAGGGAGACTGTCAGGGGCTGCAGTCACAGGACTGCTCTTAATGCAAGCCCAAGTTCACAACAGCTAGGATCCTATAAAAAGGAGCCAGATAGGGAGAGTTCAAAATTCCTGTAAAAAAGAAAGAGGCCAAAAAACAAAGTTGGACCCTGAATCAACCTTGCTAGTGGGACCTTCAAACTAAAAAGCTTGTTCCAGAGTAATAGATTACCCACCGTGTTCATCAAGGTAGGCCTGGAGTCTGTTTATGAGATCCTGTTTGTTTCCTTTCACCTCTAGGCCACGGGCAAGACACTCTTGTTTCAGTTCAGCAAGCTGCATACCAAAAGAGACTTCCCATTAGCATACTTAATTCAAAGAACAGGAGGAATACCACCAAAGCAAAAGGATAAAAAGAAGTGAACACTGATCAGATAAGATAAACCATGGGGGTTGGCACTGACAAAAGAAAAGACAGTAAGTCTAGTGGTTAGAGCTGGAGGGACCAGGAGTAAAGGACTGGGTTCTTTCCAGCCTCTCCATTGGCTCCCTTTGTTTAGCCTTAATATTTATTTTACCCCGGACATCTGGGATTCCACAGAAAATGTACCACAGGTTGAACCTCTCTAATCCAGAACTCCCTCATCCAGAAACATCTATCATCTGGAATGATTTTAGTTAAACAGATGTTCACTTTTCATGGGTGCGGTCAAGTTTCCCATGGTCCCATAAAGTTGGTTTACAGCCACCAGTCCTAGTGCTCCATGTCCTGTGCTGTTTTTTAGCTCTGATTTACCTCTAAATGTGCTCTAACAGTCCCGTAAGCAGTGGATGCATTGGCAATGTTGCTAGACAATACTGACCTAGCATCATAGAAACCTAGGGCTGGAAGAGACCTCAGGAGGTCATCGAGTCCAACCCCCTGCCCAAAGTTCCCACGGTACAGAAAATTCTCTTGTTTGGAACCAGTCAGGTCCCAAGGGTTCAACCTGTAGAAGGGAACAGTGCTACAGTAGAAGGGAGTCAGATAATCTACTAGAATTTCTCCATTACAATTTCTGTAATTCTCTCTGTGCCTCCATTTCTCCCATTTGTAAATTGCCTTAATCCCTCTGAGATAGGATTGCAAAGCACCTGTCTTGAACATACAGAGCTTGAGAAGAACAAAAGATATATTAATAGAGGGTCTGAATCTAGTCTGTGCTCCCCCTGAAAAGCGATTTACATCCTGCAGATTCTGAGCTGCTCTGGGGACTGGAACAAAAATTAAACTGCAGACATGTTAAGCAAAAGTAGCAGAAAAATGTAAATTGTTACTAGGGATTGTTACAGCTCTCCCTAGCACCAGCTCCTACTCTCCCTCCCCCTTGCTGCCACCTCTGATACAGAGGCAGCAAGGGTGGGGAGACAAACTACTCAACTAGTTTCTCCCCCAACCTTTGCTGCCTCTGTATCAGAGGTGGCAGCAAGGGGGATGGGGAGCAGGAGCCAGTTCTCCCCAGGACCATCTCCACGTGAGGCAGAGGCACAGCGGGGGACCTGGCATGAGCAGGGACAGATGAGTCCCAGCTTGCACCCAGTCCCAGACCACTGTGGCTCTGCTTTTTAAATGCAGTAAGAGCCTGGCAGTCCCTCGCTCAGTCCCAACTTGCGCTGCCCCTGGAGCTAACCCCCTTATCAAGTAATTGAGTAGTCGATGGAAATTCCATCAGCTACTTGATAAGCTTACTAACTGCAATTTAACACCCCTAGTTGTTACTATAGAACTGTGATGTCCAAAAAGCTAGTGACTATTTGGCCACTTGAGTGTGGCTAGTTTACTATAGCAGTGTTTCCCAAATGGTGTTCCACGAAGTGAAAATAAGGGTTCCGCGAGAAAATTCCATTACAATAACATTTTGTGATTTTAAAAAAATATTTAAGCATTTATGAATTTTATTGAAAACAATTTTCATTTGTGTTTGCCAAGGTAAGTGTCCCTGTGTAATGCCAGCGTAGCCAGAGAGTGGGGACGACACTATCACTACTCAGCGCTGCGCACACAGTCAGTACTGCAATCGCCTATTAAATACCACTGTAAACCGCTGTAAATATAATTCAGATTCGTTTTTTAGCTTTATTTTTTGTACACATTAAATGTGATTTTTGTTTTTAAATATGTGCAATTAAACAAAATGTTGATCTCATGACCTTGTTTAGCATTTGTTTATTATTACCCTTACTTATTTGAGGCCTACTTTTTCAGCTCCACATATAAGACTATTATTGGGATTCTGCAAAATTCTTTCGAGTTTATAAGGGTTCCATGGCCAAATCAAATTGGGAAACACTGCTCTATAGCATTAGCCAGTATAGGAGCTACTGCTTCAGAACTAGTTGGACACCATGGCTACAGAACAACCTCACTAAATCACACTTCTTAAGTATAATTACACCTCCTTACTCACCCCAAAATACCCAAGTTATGAAGAACTTCCAATTGCTACTTGCTACCATTAGCGTTATGGTAACAGTCAACTGAAAATTCTGAAGGCGCATAGAGGAGATAATGCCTAGTGCCAAGAATCTGGGAGTAATGACTGCTGGGTTTTGGAAGGAATGGGTTCCAGTTGTTAGCGCAGGAAACTAGGAGCCAAGACTTCTTGAAGATAGATTCAGATGAAGATAGATTAATCTGTGCCAATGATTTACTGATGCCTTGGACAAGTCAGGATGTAGAATAGTGATAGAAGTGTAGCCGTGTTAGTCTGTTGTAGCTGAAACAAAATACAGGACTATGTAGCACTTTAAAGACTAACAAGATGGTTTATTAGATGATGAGCTTTCGTGGGCCAGACCTACTTCCACTATTTGATCTGAGGAAGTGGGTCTGGCCCACGAAAGCTCATCATCTAATAAACCATCTTGTTAGTCTTTAAAGTGCTACACAGTCCTGTATTTTGGACAAGTCAGTTCCTCTGTTTATGATCTGTTCCCCTCCCCCGCCAAAAAAAAAAGGAAGAAATAAAAATACCTGCGTCCCTGTCCGACTGTTTGCCAGAAATTAAGATAAAGGTCCCTCTGTCTGACACAGCAGTCATGTTACTGAAACCTTAGATGTTAGAGACAAAAGAGACAGACTATCCAGTCCATCTGCCTGGGCCCTAGTGAACTCTTTTCAGTATTGTCCCGAGGCTCATTTAAAAACTAAATACTGGCCGCCACTGCAATCCTTGCCAGACTATTTTACACGCCACAACCTTGCTCTGCAAGTTTCTTCCCCTGCAGCTTTGACAGGCCTATTCCGTGCAGCACACAGGCGTGGCGATGCTTCTTCCTGAGGTAGAGATTGGGAAGGATGCGGAGAAAAGCCAGAGGTGGAGAGACAGAGACCTGGCGTGCAAGGAGGCGTAAGTGAAGGGTCGTGGAGCAGTGGCGCTGCCAGGCGAGCGT